AACCCTCTTGTCCTTCAGGGCTCAGGTCAAATCCCGTTTCTTCCAAGATGGCATCTCTGACTCTTTCTGAAATAGGAAGGGCTTTATCCGAAAAGGGATATTTATCCTAAAGAAGAGAAGGCTCAGAGGAGACCCGAGGGGTGGATATAGGGCACATCAGGATCCATGAAGGAGAGTTTTTCCAACAGCCGTAATTGTTTAGAGACAGGGAAGAGAGAGCCTTGAGAGGTGGTGAGCTTCTTGTCCTCAGGGGCATTCTAGCCATGGCTGAGTGAGAGCTTGGCAGAAGTAAATAGCTTTCCTCATTCTCCTCTAAGGTCCTGTCTAATCCGAGACACTAAGAATTTTGTAACAAAGATGTATTCAAATATTTTCATACCTCCAAGCTTCAATGCTCCCAAGGGCTACTGGCTTCCCAGGGCCCGGGTCCTGGCTTCTCCTGGCTGGGCACACAGTGGGTCAGTGAGTGGGTGCCCTGAGTGCCACCCTGAGGGGAGGCAACCCCTGGCCCAGGCCTCCCTGCCCTTTGCAGGGCCCCCCTTGTTTCTGCCCTGGCCCAGGGGATCTGCAGGGCCACCCCCAGGCACCAAATTAGGCTGGAGCTGAAGACTGTCAACTTCCTTCCTGAAAGAGGGGACTCGAGAGGGAGCCAGCTTAGCAGCTTCTCCCCAGCCTCGTGTTGCCCCTCCCCCCTCCATAAACACCTCCAAAGTGGGCAGTCGCGTGTCCCAGGCACAGATCACATAACTTGTTGCTTCAAAATGTCAGGCCAGCTCCTGCTTGGGGTCACAGGTGGCCCATGTGGTTTTTCTAAGCTGCACGCCAGGGCGCAGTCCTGGGCTGAGGTTGGTCCCGTGGTGTTCTTCTCTGGCTCTGGGGGCCCGGACCCTTCCCTGGCCTCCGACTTGATGTTGGCTCACTCAGCTGTGACCTTTGCTGTCCCTTCTGTGGAGGGCGCTCTGACCAGCTCCTCCATCTCGAGTTTCATCTATTTCAGGGCCCCGGCACAGCTGAGCCCACTGACGGGATGGTTATTTCGGAGCTCTCTGGCAGCCTGCGCCTGCTCCTGACCCCGCGGGTGGAGGGGCTGGGCACGGGCCCCAGGGACTCCGTTTTTAGCTGGGTCCCAGCATCCCCTGGACCTCCTCTCCCAACTCCTGCAATATTTCAAGCAAGGCCCCGGGGGTCCTTTCCCTACCCCTTCTCCTCTCTCTCCGTCCCCCACTGTTTCTCCTTCCTTCTCTTCTTCTCCTCTAATCTCCACCTGTAGCTTCTCCTTCCTGGTCTTTAGTCAGCGATGTCCTTCAATGATCATGTCCTGGGTGCCCATCGTGACTGATAGAAAATCCTAATTTAGGTTCGGAAAGTTAATTGTCTGAGCGCAAGTGGACCTGGCTTTGGTTGGTATAAGCAACCTGAGCAAATACTAGTTTCTGAAGGTATCAAGTCCCCAGGTGCCAAGGGCTTCACTCTCTACCTCTGGGCCCTGCAACAACATTGCAAGGCGGGTATTATTACCCCTGTTCCCTAGGTGAGTGATCTGCGGCTGGGAGGAAAGTTGCTTACCACAGGCCACCAGCCAAGGGCTGGATTAGGCATTTAAACTCACGCTTGTATCCCCTCAAAGCCCATGTGCTTGCTTCTGAGTCATGTGGCATGTAAACAAAAATAACGATGGCTCTTTTTTTTTTTTTTTGGTGAGGAAGATTCTTCTTGAGCTAACATCCATTGCCAATCTTCCTCTTTTTTTTTTTTTCACTTGAGGAGGATTAGCCCTGAGCTAACATCTCTGCCAGTCCTCCTCTACTTTGTATGTGGGATGCCTCCACAGCATGGCTGATGACTTGGAGAGGTCTGTGCCCAGGATCTGACCTCGCACAGCCAGGCCACTGAAGTGGAGAACGGAACTTAACCACTTGGCCACAGGGCTGGCCCCTGGCTCACATTAACCTGATGATTACTATGCGCCAGGTCCTCTACTGGGAGCCCTATGTACCTTATTCCACTTCATCTTCACGACATCCTTTCTGAGGAGAGCATTAGAATACAGATTTTATACCAGTCAGTGAATGCTGATTTCACTGCTGAAGAAAAGAGGCCCAGAGAAGTTAAGCTATTTGTCCAAGGTCATACAGCCAGGAAATGGCAGAGCCAGGATTCGAACCCAAGCCTGACTTCGAAGTCCTGGCACTTAACTATGCTCCTATCTTGCCTAGCAGCCTATGGATTTTGGTTACTGAAAAACCTAAAATGCTCTTAGGTTGCATTATTAGAAGTATAGTGTACGTATCAAGGGAGGTGATGGCCACACTGTGCCTTGAGCTGGTCAGGCACATCTGCAGCACTGAGTCTAATTCTGTTTATTGTCTAAGAGGTGGAAGGTGTGTAGGGAGTCTGAGTCTTCCCTGAGGAGAGCTGTCTTCAGTATGTGGCTGAGAGGTAGTGGGTATAAATATGGGGGGCTGGGGTGGGGGGTAGATTTCAGTTTAAGAGAAGGAAATGCTTTCTTAAAGACAGAGTAATTCACCAGGGGTGCAGGTCTCCTGGGAGGTAGTGAGCACCCGATAGTGGGCATATTCAATAGAAGAGGACTCCTGAAAGGGCAGAGACCAGGGTAGCTCGCATGCAGCCCCATTTGGAAATCTGTCCGAGGGTCTGCCAGCTCCGTGGGTCTGGACTGATTGTCCTGAGGGTGTGTGTGGAGGGGGTGGGGGGGTGATATGTGTGGGGGCCCCTGTGACAGCCTTGTCCCTGTAGGCTCTGGCTGGGCATCTCTGAGCCATTCGTTTCCTCCCCACCCTGCTGTCCTCATTCCTTCCCCTCTGTCTCCAACCCTCTGGAGTTCTCAAGGGCCAGAGCCTGGAATCCCTGAGGGCTGGGGGAGCACGGGCTGTTGCCTGGGGTCCAGCTCAGCCCACAGCCCTCCCCAGGTCCCCGCTGTTCTCTCTCGTGCCTCCCCTGCTGCTCAGGCCCTCCTCGCTTTGCCTCTCCACAGCCCCCCAGCCTCTCTGCATCACCGCTGTCACAGAGTCAATTCCCTGGAATAATCGCATTTTCCGGTCGGCTCCCTCCTCCTTGCCAAGCATGATCCTGGGAAATCCCAACCAGCCAGGCCCCGAGAGGCTTCTCCAGGGAGCCAGGGGACTGGCGGGGAGGGCCGACACCCACTCCTTGCCTGGGCCCAAACAGCACTGTTCCTGAAGGGCCGGGGGCGGGGGGAGAACAAAAGCAGGAAGGCTTTAGGGATCGGCTCTAGACTCAGCTGGAGCTGAATTCTGGCCTCTGCTGCCCAAACCAGTCCAGGCCCCCAAGCTTCGCTCTCACACTGAGCATCCTGCCGTCCCTACCCAGTTCCTGGAGAGAAGGCACAGATTCTCCCTTGGGGAGGCTCAGAGAAAAGCCTCCTGGGAAGGCCTGGCCCCTGATGCGGCCTACTAGCCAAATATGGGGACTCCCACAGAATAAACAAGGAGGGCCTGAAAGCGAAGAATGTGGTGTCAGGCGCCGGACAGCCCTTGCTTCAGTCCTGGATCTGCCACTCGGTGCTGTTACATCGCATCTCTGAGCTTTATCTGTACAATGGGAACACCTCCATGGGATGGTTGAAGGATGAGATGCAGGGGGAATTCGTTGCGCGTGATGACTTTTATTGTAAATTACAGGACTCCATAAAGCATGACATAACACAGCCCTTAAAAAAATATGGTGTTGGGGGCTGGCCCTGTGACGGAGTGGTTAAGTTCGCGAGCTCCCCTTCGGTGGCCCAGGGTTTCAATGGTTCGGATCCTGGGTGTGGACATGGCTCATCAGGCCATGCTGAGGCGGTGTCCCACATGCCACAACTAGAAGGACCCACAACTAAAATATACAACTCTGTACTGGGGGGCTTTGGGGAGAAGAATGAAAAAAAAAAAAAAGGAAGATTGGCTACAGTTGTTAGCTCAGGTGCCAATCTTTTTTTTAAAAAATATACAGTCTTGGAAACACGGTTATTGCATGGAAAGGTGGTTAGGACGTAGTAAGTGGAAAAGGTTGTTTTGAAAAGGAAATCTGTCTAGCAGGGTTCTCGCCTGACGTCCATGCCCGTGGATGGCTTTACGTGATTCACGGATGCCCTGAAATTATCCATAGGATTTAGGGAGAATGTGCACTTTTCCAAGGAGATAGGTCAAAGTTATTACGTTTTCAAAGGGATTTGTTACCCATAAAAGGTTAAAAACTACTGGTATTTAAATAGCATGATTCCATTTTTGCATTAGAAAAATTACTGAAAAATATATTGAAAAAAGGCTAGAAGGTCATACATCCAAATATTAATAGAGTTTTTCTCTGGTTGGTGGGCGGACAGGCGATGACTTTTTCTTTTTGCTGAACTGTCTTTTCTACCAAATACAGTCTGTATCCCTTGTATGATTAAAAAGAGAAAGGGTTTGATTTCCAGTTAAGTCACTTTCAAAAGGATATCTTGGGTAAATTAACTTCTCAGCCTCAGAGTCCTGTGGCAATGATAACCTCAAAAGGGAATTGTTAGGATAACATGAGACAATGTATACCAAGAGGCGTTCTGGGGTGAGGGGTAGGATGTCCTCAGTTCATTCAACAAACATTTACGGCTGTCTGCTAAGTGCTGGATGCTGTTCCAGCTGCTGGGGATAAAGAGGGAGGGCCAGACGAGTTAAATTAAAAAAAAAACAAACAAAAAACACTTTTATGACCGTACCATTTAGAAGCAATCGTATCTTTAATTTTGGTGTCTTTCCTTCCATCCTTACCCCTTTGCTTAAACACATAGTTAGATGTCCTGCAAAACTCGGTTTCCCGATTTTTGCTCGTTAATGGGTGTCCTAAGCACTGTCTATGCCCTTAAGGATCCGGTAAGTATTGTCACGGGGCACGCTGTCAAGGCCGGCGGGAGGCAGAGCGCGCGCCCCGGGGCCGGGGACGGGGCCGGCCCGGCCGGCGCGCGTGACGGTGGCCCTGTCTCCCCCTCCCGGCCGCAGACAGCGAGCTGGTGCTCCCGGACTGCCTGCGGCCGCGCTCCTTCACCGCGCTGCGGCGGCCGTCACTGCGGCGCGAGGCCGACGACGCGCGCCTCTCCGTGAGCCTGTGCGACCTCAACGTGCCGGGCGGCGACGGCGACGAGCCCCCGCCGGCCGCCGGCTGCCCGGTGCCGCAGAACTCGCTCAACTCGCAGCACAGCCGCGCGCTGCCCGCGCAGCTCGACGGCGACCTGCGCTTCCACGCGCTGCGCGCCGGCGCGCACGTCCGCATCCTGGACGAGCAGACGGTGGCGCGCCTGGAGCACGGGCGCGACGAGCGCGCGCTCGTCTTCACCAGCCGGCCCGTGCGCGTGGCCGAGACCATCTTCGTCAAGGTCACGCGCTCGGGCGGCGCGCGGCCCGGCGCGCTCTCGTTCGGCGTCACCACGTGCGACCCCGGCACGCTGCGGCCCGCCGAGCTGCCCTTCAGCCCCGAGGCGCTGGTGGACCGCAAGGAGTTCTGGGCCGTGTGCCGCGTGCCCGGGCCCCTGCACAGCGGCGACATCCTGGGCCTGGTGGTCAACGCCGAAGGCGAGCTGCACCTCAGCCACAACGGCGCCGCGGCCGGCATGCAGCTGTGCGTGGACGCCTCGCAGCCGCTCTGGATGCTCTTCGGTCTGCACGGGGCCGTCACGCAGATCCGCATCCTTGGTGAGTGCTCCGTCGGCCCGTCCGTGGTCCTCAGCTCTCCCTCACCAGATGCCCCCCGGGGAGGGGGAGGAAAGCGTGGATCCTTGAGTTTCACTCTCAGAGTCCCATTAACCCAGATTCCCACAGGTGCATAACCAGCCTGGGGACACACACCCCAGTGGCCACTTAAAAATTTGTTTCCTCCAGCAGTTAACTTTTTGAGGTGCATTCTCCGTTTTTCCCAAATGGGAATAAAGGCCTCTGCCTCTAAGGATGGTTGTGTGTCTAAATAAGAAAAAGAGGTTGGCATGTCAGAAGCCGGGTATCTGTGCGGGGTGGTGCCTGGGTTGGGGGCCTGTGGGGAATCCCTGAGCAGAGGGCCTTGGAGGAAGTGGGGTTGCAGAGGTCCCAGCCTTCCTTTCCTGGGTTTGAATGGACAGTGTTTGAATGGAGTGGGGGATGTGGACTTGTGTGAGCTGTGTTTCCTGGAGTGTTCTGCAGGATAGGTGCCTGTTGAAAAAGGGTCCTTGGGGTCAGAAAAGTTTGGGAAATATGGAGTTTAAAAAAAGCGGGGCATTCTTTACTGCAGAACTTCTCAGAGCTTTGTAGTGTGAATCTTTAAGAAGGGGGTGGTGATTATGGTGTACAGCTTTTCCAAACTGATTTGACCAGAAATCTTTTATTCGCAAAGCGTCTCCACGGAGACTCCTCCTCTGGTACCGTCCCCCCAGAGTGAACAGGTGTTCATGCTTTCCGAGTGCTGTTCTGCTAACCGGCTGCCGTAGACAGGGCTAGTTTCATTAGACTCACTCGGAGAACCTGCATGTGCAGATTCTTCAATCTCACCTCCAGAAATTTTGATTCTTTAGGTCTTAGATCGATCCTGGGCATCTGAATTTTTTTGAGCAAGTTTACTAAGACAAGTTTGGAGACCCCTGGGCCTCAGAGCCCCCAGCCTAGACCTTACCTCAAGGCAAGGAGGCTTCATAGACAAGACAATGTGTGTATGTGAGTGAGCACGAGTTATGCTGCAGGACTGACACACTGTGTATCGGTGCATGTGAGCGACTAAGTGCCTGTGTATTTGTGTCTGTACTGCTGTTGGTGATTGTGAGAGTTTGTGAAATCAGATAAAATCAGTGGGGACTTCCTACTCTGGAAAGAGACCAAGTGAAGATGGAGTGAAAAATGAATGTTAAAAAGAATGAAAAACGAAGGATGCTAAGTAAGAAATTAGGATTGAAGGAAGATAAATCAGGAAGGAATGAAAAGAAATCAGGTAGATGAAAAGACATCAGGAAGGAAAGAAGTTGGGGTGAAAATTCAGGGTAGAAAAAAAATAAATCGGACTGGGGTGCAGGAAAAAAAATTCAAGTTGATGTCAAAAGTTAGTTGGCTACACTCCCCGGGAGACACTGCTCCCCAGATGAAGGAAATTGTTTCAGGGCTGGGACTCTCTTGCCTCAGCATCATCTAATAATAGATAAGGAGCTTTCCAATGAGGATTCTGTTGCCCAAAGAGGCTTACTAGACTGGAGCAAAGGAGAAGCTTAAAAAAAAAAAAATCAGGATTTAAAGTTCCCAAAGGTAAGTGGGCCCAGGTGGGTGCTGAAGAAAAATCATCCAGAATTCCGGGTGCTAAACAGAGTGCTCGAGCTGTTTGGAGACTTGGGCATCTCAACCAGCAAATCGGTGTTAGGGGATCTTGACTGACTCCAAAAAACAAGCCAGTGACAGTGTATGAAGGGTAATTACTCACCTTATAGAGAGAGGAAGGCTGCTTTGTTGAAGCCCTAAGTGAACTCAGAATGGAAGGATATTTCCTTCACTCCAAAACTACAGCTGATTTCACACTTAATGATAAAACACTAGAAAATTCTCCTTAAAGTCAGAAATATGATAGAGATGCCTTGGAATATTGTTCTGAAAATGCTAGCTGGTGTAATAAGGCAAGAAAAACAAATAGGAGGTATGAATTTCTGAAAGAAGGAGATGATAATTAACTTGAAACTGTTAACACTTAGAAGCCCTGTGGACATCTGATGAATAGTGTTAGAAACAATGACTATTAAATGAATTAGGATGAATAACTAATAATATAAAGGTCTCACTAAGCACCTGCTTGTGTGTTGGGCATTATGTTAGGGCCTGTGGGAGAGTCACAGGTGAACAAGATTTCCTGCTCTCAGGAAACTCATGGCTTAACTGGGGAAACAAAGCTGCATTCCTGGGCAGAGAACAAATAATACCCCAGGCTCTGTAGTGGTTTAGTCCTGTGTGTGTGGTGTGTGTGGCTGTGCTAATAGAGTAATGTGGTGGTGTGTGGGGTGGGGTCAAGGCTGCCCAGAGGAGGAGGTTTGAGGACAGCCCCAGGAGGCTCCTGGACAGTCAGCTCTTTGGGGCCCTGGGCCCTGGTGGTCTCGTTGCCAGTTTTATGTATACACAGTGCCTGGTACCTGGTAGGCCCTCAGCAAGGACTTGTTGAAGGGAGGAGGGAGGGAGGGTAGGAAGGAGGGAAAGAGTGTAGGTCAGAACATGTATGGGAGATGGTGAAGGGCTTTTCAAAGGTGCTAATACAGAGGAGAAGGTGGGTGATATCTGGGGACAGTGACAACACAGGGCTCTGGACAGGGGCATGAGGCTAGGGCTTGAAGGACTGTGCTAGGTGGACGGAGGCCTAGGAAACCTTGAAGGTGAAGGATGCGAGGGGGAGGGTGGAGGTGAGATTCTAGGCAGGGGGCTTGTTTGGAGTGTGCTGCTGTCGTAACCCCAACGCACGATGTAGCCCTCCAATTTGTAGGCAGGAACAGAGAGCTGGGGCCCGAGGCTGAGCCGGCCTGTGGAATCTGCCTTGAGCCTAGGGGCTGGGCTGTGTGGTCAGGCTGTGACCCCCATTTTCTCTCCTGGGAATCTGCTGGAGGGGCAGAGACTGGAACTTTCTCCCAGTGGGCCTCTGAGTGGCTAGCGTCTCTCTCCCTCCCTCCCCTGCTGCAGGCTCCACCATCCTGGCAGAGCGGGGCATGCCATCACTCCCCTGCTCCCCTGCCTCCACGCCAACCTCACCCAGCGCCCTGGGCAGCCACCTCTCCGACCCCTTGCTCAGCACGTGCAGCTCCGGACCTCTGGGTAGCTCTGCTGGTGGTAAGTAAGCTGGTCCCTCCAGTTCCGTGGTGTATCCCATCTTGTCCCCTAGCTGGGTAGCTTTCTCCAAAGGACTTTTAGCACAGAGGGAATACCCAAGGCTAGTGCGGGAGGGGCCTGCCTTCAAAGATTTGGGCCCCCTTCCTTCCTCCATTCCTCCTCCTCTCACTGCCTCATGGACACCCTGGCCTCTGGTCTAGGAGCTGAAGGCCAGACGCAGGGCTGCCCAGAGGGCTTCTTCCCTCTCGTGCCCAGAAATTGGGTCGTCAGGGTAAATAGGCAGATCCCGATAAATGGAGGAGGAGACAAGAGGCCGGGGGCTCTCTTCCCGTGAAGCTGGGGCTGGGCTGGGCCATGTCTCCCCCTGAGTAGTGTCCCCTTGCCCCCAGGGACGGCCCCCAACTCACCGGTGAGCCTGCCAGAGTCACCAGTGACCCCAGGCACGGGCCAGTGGAGTGATGAGTGCACAATTTGCTATGAGCACGCGGTGGACACGGTCATCTACACATGTGGCCACATGTGCCTCTGCTACGCCTGTGGTCTACGCCTCAAGAAGGCCTTGCACGCCTGCTGCCCCATCTGCCGCCGCCCCATCAAGGACATCATCAAGACCTACCGCAGCTCCTAGCCCGCTGCGGTGCCCCACCCCGCACACCCACCTCCTCAGACTGCGGCCCAGCTCCAGCTGAGGGGCAAGCCAACAGGGACCCTTCTCTTCTTCCTCATTTTGGAAACTCTTTTCTCTTCTCATTAAACATGGGAAACTGAGGCCCCTGAAGGTTTGGGGAGAAAGGAGATATCTGGCAGGGAGGTGGGAGCAGAAGCAGATCCCCTGGCAGAGGGGAGGGGAGGAGTCCATGTTCTCCCTGTCTTTCCCTTCTCTGCACCCAGCTCTTCCCTGCATGCTGAGGGGCTAAACTGGGGTCTCAGTCTGTCCTAATCCTCCCCAATCTGGGGCAGATTTCTAGGAGGTCCCTCTAGCCTGTGTGGCGCCTCTGTGAGAATTAGAAAACATGTCCGTTCCTCTGGGCAGATGTGGCCCTGAGCCAGGGCATGTGGCTTGGCCAGTGGAGTATGGACTGGACTTCAGCCTCCGTTTGCTTCCTCAGCCAGCTTCCCTTGAGCAGTGTACAACCTGCTCAACAGCAGCCCTGGGCAGGCAGCCCCTGAGCTGCTGCCTTACTCTCTGACCTATACACACCTCTTTCCTCTCTTCCCTGCCCCTTGGGCCTGGCAGCCAGGGGTAAGGCCAGTGGATACCTCTCACCCCGGGCAGGTGCAGCCTCTATGCCATGTCCTTTTCTACTCGCCCAGGGTGGGTGGCCTGAGAGGCCATAGGAGGTTCCAGGTTCTGGATCCCCGGCCCCATGCCCTAGCTGAGATGCCGAGGGCTCCTTCCTGGCTGTAGCCTTTCTGCCCCGTTCATCTCGCTGGCTGCTGCTGCCCGGGACGGCCTCTTGTTGTGGGCTGGAGAGCGGGCCTATCTTCTTTCAGAGTCTCTAAGAACAGGTGCACGTCTCCTCTCTGTGCCCTGTCCTCCCGCATCTCAGTGCTGTCCTGGGCGTGGCTGATGCTTAGAGAGGCTGTAGTGTTCCCAGGAGAGGCCAGAGCCCTGGTTGGGGGTTTCCCTGGGGTAAGACCAGCCTTTTTCCTTATTTTAATTTATTTATTTATTTGGTTTGTGGGTTTTTTTTTGGGGGGGGGGGGGTGAGCTCCCATCCCCTGGGCCCCCAGAAATGCTGCCCTGGCGTGCAGGGTGCCTGGTGAGGGGCCGGCAGAGGTAGTCCTCACTCAGAATCTTCCATAGACTCCAGCCCAAAAGTCCATGGCCAGCCCTGCCTATCATGAATTAGAAGTCCATAAAAAGGGGCTGAGTTGGGAGGCCTCCTGGCAAACTGTGTCCATTTTACAGAGCAGCAAACTGAGTCTCCTCAAGGCCCCGGGGCTGGTGGATCACCCAGAGCCGCAAAGTGCCCTTCCTCCCTGGGCGGAGCAGGGTTATCATCCTTGGCTCAAACAGCTAGCAGGCCCAGGAGTTCCCCTCCGCAAGGACATGAGTTCTAGGAGGGCCGAGGAGGGGCCCAGCTTGGGCAGGAACAGGGCTGGGGGCCTGCTCTTAGGAAAGGCCCTTCACCTGCGGGAAAGATGGGGAGGGCTGGCTTCCAGCACGTCTGGGTTCTTCCTGGTTTTGGGTGAGGGACTGCCCCCCATCTGCTCTTGGGTTACAGTCGTCTCAGCCCTGCCCACCCTGTCCTGATTGGCCTCGGGCTGGAGCCAGCTGTCTGAGGCTTGGCCTGGTGTCCCCCGAGCCTCCCAGCCCTCTGCCCCCTCAGATGGCTTGTGTCCATCAGTCTGCTGCTCCCTGTGGCCAGCAGAGCATGGGAGTCTAGACCTGGCCACTGACCGGTTGTGTGGCCCTGGCCGGGTCACAGCCCCTCTGAGCCTCAGCTGCCGCCTCTGTAAGATGACTGTGTGGGGAGGGGCAGACTTTCTGTGTGACGCTTGGGCTTTCTTTGGTGAGGGCTGCTATGGGGTGGGGTGGTGGGACAGCACTGTGGGTCAGGAGCCAGGCTGGGCCTCAGTCTGCCCCTGCCTTGCGGTGGGCCTTTGGGAAGTCATGATTCCCCAGTCACTGACCCCGGAGACCCCTTCTGTGGGGGTGGGATGGGGTGGGGCGGGTGGCAGCCCCATCCAGTCAGGGGTCCCATCTCAGAGGAGGAAAGGTGTGAAGTGCAGGGGCTGCGTGGCTGGAGGGTCCGGAAGAGGAAGCCATCTGTTCCATTGTCTCTGTTAGTGTGGGAGTAGTTGCTGCCTCCTTTGTGAACTTGGGTCGCTGTGATTGTGAATAAAGGTGATTTCGTACCAGCCTGAGGGCTGTGCTGTGCAGTGAGGAGGGTGTGCTGTGTGTGTGTGTGTGTGTGGGGGGGGGGGTGCGGTGTGTGTGGGGGGGTGGAGTGTCAGGTCTCCTGGACACGGAGGGGAGTCAGCAATCAGGGAAGACTCCCTGGAGTGGGGGGCTGGAGCATGACGTGGGGCTTGGACAGCAGGGGCTGGAATGCCAGGTGAGCCTTGTTGTAAGATGAAAGATGGCCTCAGCTCCCTGGGTCCGTGAGGAGCAGCGTTTGTTGGGGCAGGAGCAGCAGGGGTCCATGAGGCCTGCTCAGCTTCCCTTGTGGTGTGGCTGCGCCACCTAGGGGCTAATGAGAGGATGACAGGTCCTCCACTCAGGTCAACAGGGACGGTGCTGAACTCCCCAGGAGGAGGGCCTCCCCATCCCTCACCCCAGGCCTAGACCCCTGCCTCTGGCTGGGAACTCAGCTGCTCTCCCACTGGTGAGTGCAGACGCCTATACCAAATGGGTGGCACAGCTGGGCAGAAAAGGGAGGCCTCTGGCCAGAGACCTTTAGAGAAACTTTCTAGATGTGCTGAGTACATCTGGCTGGCCGCAGAAGCTGGGGGTGGCAGAGGGGGCTGGGCACAAAGCCGGAATCGGGCTCATTTGACGGGCCGGCCTCAGAAGCACACAGGATGCCTGCCCTCTCTCCTGGGAGCACGCTCCGGCTGCCAGCCTCTGCCTGGCCTTGAACAGCCATGGGCTGCTTCCTACATCAGGACCGCCCAGCATTGCTTACTGGACTCCAGCAGAAGTTGGGGAGGGTCAGGCGCTCCAAGCTGAAGGGCCAGCTAGGCCCGCTGCATGTACGCCTTTGGCCCCAAGATCTGCCTCTCTCTCTCAACTGCCCAGAAAGCCTCCCTAAGGTGGGGCGGGGGTGGGGCGGGGGGAACTTCAGCATGATTCTCACCAACCGTGGGGGGAACTTACCTGCCCCCCCTCCTCCCTCCATGTCCTCACAGGGCCCCGACCCTGCAGTTCACGCTGCCTTTGGGATAATGTGGCTTTTGCCATTCAGCTGGATGGGTTTTCTGGTGGCAGGGAGAATCAAGAGGTGATTGTGTTCAGTTAAAAAGGCCAAAAACTTTATTTAGTTTTTAGGGAAATACAAGATGCATGTAAACATAAACAAAATACAAAACAAAACAACCCAAATCTTACAGTCTAGAAGCATGCCAAGACAGAGTATCTGCTGCAGACCACAGAGTCCCGTCAAAATGATGAAGGATACCTGGGAAGTGGCAGGCCAAGGGGTGAGTCCCTTCCCCAAGGACGCTGCATTTTTGTGATGAAAACAATGAAAAAAAAAAACCCACCCACTATTAAAAATAGAAACATGAAGATAGTTTAGCACCACCATTGATCCTGGAAATTTGTTAGCACTCAAATTGACTACACTGAATTCAATGTCCTTTTCGTCTGTTTCTCTGCTGAGGAGGGAAGAAGGAACAACCTGCTGACCCCACAGAGCCCACTAGGAGCTGGGAGGCGTTGAATGGACACCATGAGGAACTCCCCAAGTTCTGGAACCCCAGAGACATCCAGCAGTTCCCATGCAAGCATGCAGTCTACAAACCCACACTTCAGGGACCTGCCACTCACATTGGCCTCTGCCAAGTCACCTTCCTGCAGGCCCCTCGGTAACCGGCAGTGAAAGCCTTTCCCAATCTGTCCTGGATTTAAAGAAAACCTGTTGCAGAGAATAAGCTGCAGGTTCAAGAATGGTGGCTCTGTTTACCCCCCACTGAAATAAACACTTTTAGGAGCAGTGCGCCTTGGTCACAGGCCACTCGAAAGGAAAGGGCATATGCGCAGACGGGTGTGCGCTGCACCTCGTCTTCTAAGTCACACCAGCGAGGCGGGCTCCACAAACTGAACCACCACAGGTATCAGGAGAGAGACTCGAGGATAACTGGTGTCAACAGGACAAATGAAGCTGCCTTCCTCCCGGATATGCTTGGTGGTATCTAGACCCCAAGGTTCCAGTTTGGGGGTGGTGGGTCCTCGCTGCATGATCCATTATGGTGAGTGGTCTCTAACTGATTCAAGCAATTTGAGAAGTTAGCTCTGGATTGGACAAAGGGAGGTGGGCAAAACCAGCTGGGAACCTGGGAGATGGATGAATGTTCTGGAGCCAGGGCCTCCAAACTCTAAGATCTGCTTGTTGTTGGCAACTTTCCTTCTCTACTAAGTCCATCAGTGACCAGTAAGAACCTGCTGGGGACCCAGCTTGTGGCCCAGCAAGCAGTTGTTTCCTCAGGCTAGCTGCTTCTATGGCCAAATCTTGGGGCTTTTCCAACCTGCTCTGGCTGGACCCTTCGGTGTTGAATCACTGAATTCCCTCCCCACCTGCTCTCTTCCTGAAAACAATCAGAATTGACTTCTTCCTTCTTTCTAATAAAGACATAACTCGACTCCAGACCCTCTCAGGCTTCTCACACTTTTCCCTTTCTGCCTAGAGGACATCCTCTTCTGGAAGCTGCCTTCCCAGGGAAGGGACGGTAAGCCCCAGCCACCCCAAACATGCACACACTTCTCTCGCCGACATGCCTCTCGCTTGCCTCCAACATGCTCGACCCATCCCTTTGCTTTACGACAACAACTCTTCCTCCCTCTCTCTTGCCTCCTGAGGTCCAGCCGATTAGCCAGGATGGAACTGGGAGCAAAGGAGGGACCTTCAGTGCAGGGACTCATTCTCTAAGGCCACTAAGTTCTAGGACTGGGATGGGAGAGGGGGCTGATTGTCAAGGTCAAGTGCAAACTCAAGATTAAAAAAGGTAGGGCTGGGAAAAGGGGTAGTCCCAACCTTAGAGGCAGGCTGAGATCAAGGCCTTGGAACGCAGAGCTCTCTACCCAGTCTGTAAGCACCAGTGTGCCCAACTTCTGGCCGGGGGACAAAACAGGAGGGAAGCTAAATCAGTGGGGCTGTCACTGATGATAGAGCTTGAGAACCACAGAGGCTGCCCCCAAATGGGGATCATGATTTAGGAAGAAGCTCAGTCAAGAGGGAGCCCCCCACACTACTCCCATGCAGTGTTCAGTCGGGGCCTGCAATCCAGACCAGAGGGGCTGATGTGTCTGCACGTGGTCTGCAGAGCTCACCGGGAGCAAGTGCTCGCCCTGGCCGCCTGACCCACCCTCAGAAACACAAGACCTGAGGGCCAGCAGCTCTTTTATTCCATGAGGATTCCCAGTGATGACGTGCATGGCAGTGGGCCGCAGTCAGCCTGCTAGATAACACACCTGCAGGTGGTGACCCAATTTAACCACCTCAGCGCTTCCACACCCAGTGGCAGCTTTTTGACATCTTCATTTTGGAGCCCGGGACGGTGGCCTAGGCTGCTTCTGCTAGATCTGTTAATGCCAGTGTGAAGTTTCCAACTAAATACTTAATAAAATAATTACCAAAAAAAAAAAAAAAAAAAAAGACACATTGCACTCTCCAGCCAGAATTACGTGTGAATAACACACATACTTGCTGCCAGAAGCTGCGAGTCCCATGGGGCCTGCCCAATGCCAAGGACTTTTCAATGGAGACAGCTTGCCCGATATTTTTTTCCTCTAACCCCATGTTATTTAGTTCAAGTGGGAAATTACCAACACTCACACGTGGGTGCGTGTGCACTTGCACACGCACACACACACACACATGCGTGAACACACACTTTCTCAACAACACACAGCCCTCAAAAAAGCGAGGGAATCTTAATTCTTTAGCGATGTGGAAAGTTCTCTTACCAGAGAGCTCTGCATCGAGATTCTCAAAGATTGGACACATAGATGTATTCGCTCCAGGGAGAGACACCCACACATGGGGGCACTTAGATCCGTACTGGGACAGAAACTCACCGCACGGGGGGTTGGAGCAGCAAGCGTACAGTACTGGAAGAGGGGACGAGCCCATGAGCACGTCCTGCAGCCCTGAGGGGCAGAGCTCCACGGGCTCGGACCAGGGACTCCCCACCTGCCGCTTTCTCTACTGGCGCCATGTCCGGAGGAGGCCAGCTTCTACCTGCTGTGGGAAGTTCTGTCTCCAGAGCGCTGAGGAGGCCCCTCAGACACTTCTCCGAGACCCTCTGGGGACTGTGGGGGGTTGAGCAGAAGACAGGGCTCCCTCCTCAGGCTGGTCATTGAGATGAATGGGTGGTCCAGGCTCAGCACCAGGCCCAGCTGCAGGCTTGTGGGAATCGGTGTCTCACTGGGGTATGCAGGGCTCAAGGCACCCACATCCCCCAAAAAGGATTTGGTTCTATCTAGGGTTCCTGCCCATAAACTGAACTGAGGTTACACAGTTTTAGAAAGACTCAAACATACATCAAAAAGCTCATGGCCCACACATCAGGAGACTGGGGTGAGAGGGGGCTGCTGGGAGTGATTTTTAGGACAGGTCTTTCCGAGCAACCGGCTGAAAAACAATGGAAATGAAAACAAGGAACGGTTTCTGGATGTCCTTGCTCCGCTCCGAGGGCTGGGGCACCAGGAAGTCAGGCACCCCATGTCAGTTCCCTGAACCCCTTTCTTCTGGGTGGACAAGACTCAACAGAAGAAGGGGCTGCCCTTTGGCGGGGACCCCTGCCATCTTGCCAGGGAAGGGGGAGGGGCAGGAGGGGTAAAAGATGAACCCAGGAAGTCACCTGGCAGCTCCACACGGGGCCACTGTGTCTCCCGCGACTATCCCAACCAGCCCTGGCATCCCTCTTGATAATATTGCACTTTTCCTGTCTCTCAGATTGTTTTCATTTTCGATTGAGAATGCAAAGTATTTGGAGGGAATAGGGGAAGTGAGTAACCTTAAAGAAATAATATATTAGTTAAATACAAAAACAGGAAAAGTAGGGGTACTTTTTTTTTTCCTTAAAAACAAAATGAACTACCAAACCAAGGTCTAAACTTAAATAATCCTACACCTACTCTGCAAATACTAGTAATATGAAAATAATGCTTGACCGAAATTCCCTTGTCTTTTTTCCTTAGATGATAAAAGTAGTAACATGCCT